GTACTCTACCAGTTATTACTTGCAACAGACTCGGTACACTTGCCGTGTTTGAAGGAAAAGATCCAACAATTACACAAAGTTTTGAGTAGCAACATTTGGATGCAAGTGAGTTGACAACAATAGTGGGGGTTCAATTTGACAACTTAGCTTTATAAGAGTCAATTTTAAGAGGGTGAGTTATCAAAATGACTTATTTATCCTTGCATCACAGGTGCAACAAGTGTTTTATATCCTTGATCCTGTTGACAAGTCATGGTTAATTGTCTTGCTGTCTAATAAAATTAATGCTTTAACTGATGGTGAATTCATGGAAGAAGAAGTTATTGTTGATGACGATCCTTTAAGAAGTGTAAAACACATGTCAATTACAAATACAATAATAGATGATAGAGACTTTTATGTAAGACATAATCATGAAGAGGGTATTATCTCATTGTAGTGTTCTACATAATGCTGGTATGCTATATGATATATGTTTTTTTTTTCCAACGTAGCAAACTTTTGAAGTGCAAGACATGCACAAAGACTTTGTACTTGCATTAGCAGGATGAGATCTTCGTGCATTTTGTACACGGATGAGAAAACAAATCTTAAATGAAGATGGAAATTGTCTCCCCCATTCTCCAGAGAAGTATCAGAGATTCATCATTGTCACTGATCACTGGGTGGACTTTGTAAAGCAAAGCTGCATAGACGATTTTAAGGTATTATAATTAGACTTTTATTTACTTCAATGATCATGCTATTTACACTTGGTAACTAATTTGGTTTTCTTTTGAAATACAAAACTCAGAAAGAAAGTGAGGCCAAAAAAATGTCGTATAGATATAGACGGTCAACTAAAGGATATGCTCAGTTAGAGTAGAATTTGATATGTATTATTTTTGGATATGTAATCTTCAAAGGTTTATTTTACTGTGATCTCATGTTTAAGACATGTAATTATTAAGTCTTTGTATAGATTGCTTCATCTGAGTTTAATGTGACCTCTGTACGTTGACATGTCCCATGGAAGGCTGCTAGGCTTAACAAACAAGGTGGTATTAATGATGAAGGAGTTCAAAAAATGGTCCATGAATTTGTGTTTTAAATTATTGAATAAGTACTTTGATTATTTTTCCTCTATTTGAACATTGCAAAATATACTGATGGTTGATGTTATGTTTGTTATAGGAAACCCTTTCATAGGCTGCTTCAGAGGCTGAGTCTAAATCAATAGCCCAAATGATATATTATCTCAAGCATTTGGTGTAATAGAGCATTTTGGTCATGTGAAAGCTACAGGTTTTGGATTAACCCAAAAATTTGCATTTGGCCCAACACCATCATATCCACAACCATCATTTACTGAGTGGCAGAACATGAAGCATTAGGTAGCGCATTTGACAAATATTGTGGCATAGTTGATAGGGGTCAAGGACTGTCCCTATTTATGTCAGGTCAAATGTTATTCAACCTTATTGCCACCCCACCACCATTCATGCCTAGTTCCATGCCACCTTCATTCAGTATTCCTCCTCAAATGCATCCACTAGTGGAGGTAGGCCCCCAATTGTAGCTAGATGTGCCATGTAACAGCCAAAGAGGCAACTACACACTAGTTGCATCTATAGAGATTCCAGGGGTATTTTTCACTTGAAAATAAGTTTTCCTTTTCATTCACTATTAATTACTTACAATTAAATTTAAGTATTATTATATTTCAAGTCTTTGTAGGATGATCATGACTGCATACTGTATTTGAGCACCCCATATCACGTGGTTGCAAGAGGAAGAGTATATCATACTGTGGTTGGGGACTCCTTACACAATATTGCTCTTCCTCCAAACCATGGTAAGGTCTCAATAGAGGTAGTACAACGACATGAAGAAGAGACTGCATTACTCGTCCTTAATGAAGATACAAACCTCAATTGCTTAAGAGATGCAATTGGTATTTATGTTGCCTGACCATTGTCCCTAATCACTTTACGACCCAAGATATGTAACAATAATTTTCTTTATAAATTTGGACTGGATGCATAATTTATTAATGTTTCATTCCATAATCAAACTTTGATATATTTCAGGTTGCCTCATTATCAAGTAAAGGGTTAGAAAAATAGACAGGTTACACAAAGAAATCGATTGCTGGTTCAAACAATAAAGGTGTTATTTGTAACTTATCTGAGCTTTCTAAGTTGGCATAAGCCCAAGGTGCTACGTGCTTTGATATAATGAAGCTTTACATTAGAAGTGATCAAGCTATTGATATTGCTACAAGACAATTGAGTATTGGAGAAAAGAGTTTTCTGACATAGTAGGAAAAGAAAACATATTAGAGGTCATATGTCGCCATTGGTTGAGTGCCTCCAACGTCAACCTCTACATTAGGTAATTGTTTATACCATTTGTATAATTGTAGCAACATATAATTACTTTATGTTCATTTCTTTATTTAACGCAGTTTGATTCTTTTTTTCAATTACAAGATATTTATGTGAAGCTTACTTGTAAAGGACAAATAAGACAAGTGAATTTTCATTTATATTTTTGTATGAAATGGACAAAAGCCTTAATCCGACCCCACATCAACATATGATTGACATGTTGAAGTGTCATATGGGTTAAGATCATTTGATTTTCGTATCTTACATTAATGTTAGGTAAGTCATTCTTATGACATGCATATTTGTTTTATAATTTTCATTATCATATTTAATTATTGTAATCTTAAATATTTATTTTCACTATTAGTAGAAAACATTGGGTCCTGGTTGCCATTAACACCTCTAATGAGACAATGTATTATATGGATCTCCTACGCAAAGAACTGAAGACCAAAACACATATGCAGAACCTATTTAATAAGTAAGTATGCATAATTTTATTTATAGTCTATCATATATGAATGTGGTTGAAATGTAACTTACTTCTTTCATCCACCATTGTTAGTGTTCTTGTCACATATCAAAGTGCAGCCCTCTAGGATAAAGATGCATCAAACAAGATGGTCACTGTATAGGTATATATATGATACAAAAACCTCTTTTACTTTTAAACTTATAACATTGTATATTTTATATTTATATAATTCTGCATTAATCATGGGTTTTATGTTGTTTTCCTCCACAAAGTGTCCTAAGCAAACAAATAATGATGACTATGCATATTATGTGTGTCTCTTTGTTGGAGATGCTTTGCACTATGGACAAACTACAATCCCAGTTAATGTAAGAGGACTCCATATCCAAAATCTTCATATATCATTTCTATTTCTTCTAGTTAAGTGTCTACCTATTTGGATTATATTTAACTTAATTAAGCTTTGTACATTGTTTTGTTTTTAGTATTTTCCAGCATTTGAGTTTCAAACCTTTCCTGAAAACATAATTCATCAAGTGCAAAAGAAATAGTGTGCATATCTGTACCATAGATATTTAAAGAACACATTAAGCACAATAGATTGTTAGTGTTTTTTTTACAAGACCTAGTCATATTTGTAAATACTGAAGGCAAAAATGTATAGATTGTTAAGCTTTTTTAATTGTGGTTCTCTGTAATTGTAATCTGTACAGATGCATTTTTGATGTATTAATGTTATGTTACTTTGTGATAGATATTCATATGTTCCAAAATTGATTTAATTTCTGATTGCTAAATGTAATGTGCATGTGGTTTGAAATTTTGGTACATCTGGCTATTTTACATTTCTATTCTGTTTGCACTGTTTCTGAATAATATATGGTTTATTATGTATGCCAAATTAAAAATTAAGATAATGTCAATTTTACTAAAATCCTAACAAAATTTTTCTAAACTTGAGAGAGCGGTTCACCAAAAACCACTCTTAGAAGTACACTTTAGAGAGCAGTTAAAAAATAATAACTCTGAGAAGTAGACTTTGGAATGCAGTTAATATGAAACCACTCTAAAAAGTGAGATAAGAGAGTAAATGTGTTTGAACCGCTCTCTTTATGAAAGCTTTTGAGAGCAGTTTCACGAGGACCGCTCTCTTATCTCAACTTTAGAGAGTGATTGCGCGCCTAACCGTTCGCTAAAGTATGTAGTATAGAGAGCAATTTTACATGGAATCGCTTTCTTAAATATACTCATGAGAGTGGTTAGGCAAACAATCGCTCTCTAAAGTTAACATTTGAGAGCAGTTAAATAACCAATCTTTTCAATGCAAGACATTAGATAGTGCAAAATTTTATAGTATTAATAACTGCTTTCTAAGTTCAAATGGAACTGTTCTTAAATCTGCTTACTAGCATAGTGAGTGATGAAGAAAGTATAAATTCTAGAAACTTTCACAACTCGCAACTACCCGCTTTACCTACTATAAGAACCCGACAACATTAATCATGCGAAATCTACTGAAAACTTTGAAGGAGCTTTTGGAACCTTGCCAGATTCGTCAAAGAATGAAAACCAATAAGGAAAAGGAAGAGCAAAATATGACGAGTTGAAAAGCTTTATTGCAAATTTTCTCTACTTTAGGTTGATGACTTGCCCTAGCCTCTCTTATTTGCAAAATCGTTGAGGAGAAAATAGAAAAGGGCTAGAAGAATGTAGTTACTGATGACAATGATAGAGAAGATTTGAGTTTATTTAGAATAGGTTTCTTTCTCTTCTAGGTTCAGAATTCGGCCCCACCCCATCCCCACATCTTCTATCTCTTGAATCAACGCATGTCGATAGAGTGAATTGAATATATATAAGAACTAACAACTAATAAATATTTGAAAGATATTCGTAAAAGAAAATAATTATATTGAACCAAGTGATGCTGTGCCCATTTTATTGCTATCATTTTAATATAAACGCAATATTATTATTTTTAAAAAAGTAAACTACACAAGTTATAACTTATTGCTTTGCAGTTACAAACTTCAGAAAGAAATAGCGCTGCGAAAGGATAGTGTGAGCATCTTAGAATTCCACAAAACAAGTAAATAAAGCATTTATATTAACTTAGAGAAAGAAAAGAAAAGAAAAAAAAAGAAAAAAAAGGCTTTACTCGTAACTTTAACACACATTTCTTATCCAACAAAACATGGATGGATGATAACAAAAAACTACAATAGCATTTGTCTTGCACATTACTGCTACATGCTTGTTTCTTGTAGTCGCTTATTATATAAACTAACCACAAAATATGTTGATCACTGGCTTTAAGGACACGGTTTAAACGATAGACCCGATCCAGTTAATTTTTCTTTGATGCTTTTGGATAGTTTTTCTACCATAGAAGGGGAAAGGTAATTTACCCAATCTCCGATTTCACCTTTCCGAAAATAGTTCTTTTTCTCAATGTTCATATCTACAATTCCAGATTTATTGACTTTTAAATCCTTCATCTTTTCAAAGCTACATAGCTTAATTATGCTTTCAATCACTCCACTACTTTCCTCCTCCTGGGTAAAAGGACAACCCAAGAATTCGGCAATTCTTTTCACGTGAAAATTAGCATCTTCTTTAAGATCCTCATACTTCAAGAAAAGAATCTTGTTTGGTTTATCTATGCTCTCCTTCCAGTAACCTAGCATGTGGTTCGAATATGGACCAAACCCAATTATTCCCTTGTAGTACCTTTCAAAAGCATCCTCTATGGTTAATTCAGGTGAAGACTCTGGCTTAATTTTATTGAAGAAAGTCCAGGCTGAAATAAAAGTATCAAATGGGTTTCTACAAATATAAATGATCCTACAATTAGATTCCTTGATTGATTTAGGCAATGAAGGAAATGGAATATGAGTACCAAAATGTCTTGGCTCGGTCAAGTTTGATAGGTACTGATGAATTTGGTCATTGATACCTTCACGAAAGACAAACTCAAGGAAAGGTACGAGTTCATGAGGATTGGAAGTAAGTAATGGATGGTTCTCAAAAGTGAAGCGTTGGCGATTTACAACGGAAAAAGTAAGGGCTTTCAACCAAGTGGTGCCTGATTTTGGAATGCTAGCAACTAAAACATCATTGTCTTTTGCTTGAAAGTATTTTTGACAGTTGTTTACACCATGAATATGAATTGAAGGGAACCAAAAATCTTGAAATAAATAGAGATATGAACATGCCCAACCTTTCTCTCTCGGAAGGGAGAGAGTTAGCTTGTGATCTTGTTCATTTGCCTCTTGACCACCCATTGAAGCCATTGGGTTATGTTGAATATGAATGGTAATTTACTAATAGGAATTGGATGAGAATTTAGTCGTTGGACGATACTTTTATAGCATCAACCAGTGGTGCAAGTTGAAGAAAATCACGCACTATTTGTTTACGCATATGCGTGGGGCATGTACACATTATTCTTTTGATTTTGTTAAAATCAGTGTTTATGTCAATTTTAAGTATATAAAAATAATTTTTTATAAGTATTTGTTATATTATAAAAAATTATTATATTTTTATTTTTAATGTAATAAATATTTTTCAATAATTTTTGTTATATAACAGGAACATGAAGGATTATTATTAATATTTTTCTTAATTATTACTTTGAAAAATTCCAAACAATGGCAAACATGTAGTGGGCACAAAGCATTTCTTTTTTCATCGAATTCTTCCGGCTTGCGGATCAGAAAATAAAAATTATTTGTCAGTAGCTTTCATCGTTACATGCAATAATGGAGGTTTCAGGACCTTTTCCACGTGACTTCCATACGTACATGTTTTCAATCTTTTGTTTGTTTTGTTTATTTAATCCATGCATCAAGATATATGGAATATTTTTCTTGTATATTTCGTTCAAATTTTCAAATGAAATCTAATTTATGTATATTATAATGTCATGTGCAATATAGGTATGCATTCGATAAACAAGTTCCAATAATTTTAGTTTATTTTTATAAAAAAATTATTCATTAATTAAAAGTGTAGGGAAAATTACACCTAACCCGTGATACATGCTTGTTAAGAAAAATTATATAATTCAGTAACTATTCAAACAATTCAGAAGATCCATGACCTACTGCAAAATGTATAAGATTTGTTGGCAAAAGAGAATAACTTGTAAAAAAAATAAATTTTATTCAGCTATTTCTTTTTTTCTTTTTCTCTCTTATTCTGGGCAAAAATCTCACTCTAATATCATTGTTGAGGCATATGAGACTACTTAAAACACACAAAAATTTCTTATCTACAAGTCATTAAGTAAATCATACGAACAAACTTGAATGCCACTTAATCAAAATTCTCAAGGTTTTTGGTCCTTGTCACATAAATTTTGGATTCTTTTCATTTATATGTTGCTCACTTTCTTTATTCACATCTAATGTGAGACTTATGTACTTATACTTGATATCTCAATAATCTCCCAGTCAAGTTTAAGTCTATTTCATTATGAAACTCCTCTTCTAATAAATTTCTGTCATTTTTTTTTCCAACGAGTATCTACGCGACATAAGAATATGAGAGTCCTTGATCAATAATGTTGTTCGTTTAAATTTGTACCATTGTTAGTTCTAATCACCAAAATATGTTGCTCAATTTATGTATTGTTTGGAAGGCTTTAGTTACTTGTTTGAGTCAGTCACCTAGACAACATTGGCTTGATACCACTATTTTGGGAAAATGTTAAGTCTTATGCATTCTTTATCCTTGAAAGTACTCACATGAAAAAGAAAATAATTAATAAAAAAAGAAAACACACACATGCAGATGCACAATTTTAATGTGGTTTGACACCTTTTGCCTAGGTCTAATAATTTCAACATAAATTTTTATGGATAAAAGTATAAACCCTTTGTTAGAAAATGGGTGGTCACAACGGGACGACGAAAGCATGTTTGTGAATTGTTTCTATGCAGGGAAGTTATTATCATCCTATAATGTCTATTTAAACAATTTATTTATCTAAACTATAAACACTAATTTTTATCATTTATTTTTTAAAAGGAAGAGAATTCGTTGATATTGTAGAAAAGAAAAAAAAAATTATTTTGACTTGACGAATATCAGTTCTTACTTTAGTGTATTTCCTGATTTAATAAGGAACTCAAAGCCATGTAGTTCTATCTTAAAATTATAGAGAAAGTTTGTTAATTCAAAATTTAATAAATATATAATTATTTAAAATAAAATTATTTTTATAAAATTATAATATTTAAGATACAAGATAACATGACTATACATATTATCCTACATTAAACTATATAAGACGCGAAGGGAGATCACACACCTATATAAATCATTGTAAGAAGAAGAAAATTAATAATTACAATAAAATATTTTAATTTAAAATATTTAAGAGAGTATTTTAATTAAAAAAATTTATTATAAAGAATTTAAGATAATGTAAGTTACACATAAATCCTTTACGATTGATTCAACAGCTCAAAAAAATATAAATCACACAGTGGTATTATAAAACAAAGTATGATAAAATATTTATTAAAGTTAGAAACATGACTTGAAATTTTTAAAGATACAATTAATTTTATTTAACAAAAAGAAATTTTAAGGAGAAAGAAATATTTAGGTTAAGTAGTAGTGATAATTATTTGATTAAAAGAAGTTAAAATATGATTACTAAATTTGTATTTGCATGAGACTCAAGGTAGTGTTGATAAATAAAAGTATCAGTAATTTATAATAAGTAAAAGTACAATCTCTACACATTAGTATTGTAAATTACTGCATTAATCAAGTGAAATAAATTTAATTTAACTAATTAATTAATAGATAAATTATGTTTAGTAATAAAATAGAAAAATATTTAAAATAATGTTTTGATCAATCGATGAAATATTTAATAAAAGAAGTATACTTTTACCAACCAGTAAAATATAAAATTAATAGGAGATGACTTACGATTAAGTTTTAAAATTAATTTATATTATTTAATAATTTATTAGAAGAATATTTAAGGAATAAATTTTAGTTAAATAAAAAATTATATAATTGATTAAATTTTTAATTACGCTTATGGTCTATGAGATGTAAAAAAACATTGATATATATTAACTTTGACAATTTATAATGTATAAAAGTAAAGTCTCTCCATATTAATATTATAAAATATCACATTAATAAAATAATTTTGGCCTAGTCTAATTGATGGGTTAACAATTCAATAGTTAAAAAAAAAAATTTAATATAACATATTTTGATTAATTGATAAATAATTATTAACTAAAAAAAGTTAGAATATAATAAAATTGTATTATATAAAGTCTAGAGTAATGTAAGTATATATAAACTTTATTAATTTATATTACGATAAAAAAATTATACGTTATTATTATAAATTATTTTTATTTTTATTTATTTATTTATTATATTATATTATACAATTTTAGAAGAAAATATAATTTACTAATCATAGAATAAGAAAAATAATGCATAAATTTAAATCAAATTATATGCATATTATATAAAAATAAAATAAAAATAAAAATAAAAGGCATGATAAACAAACAAATTAGACAAATGATTAAATAAATGAAAACACTAAAGTTACAAACACGTTTTATTAAGAATTTTAATTTTTAATATGACCTTTCCATCCCATCATTTCCATTACTATATGCAAAGACTAGTATTTATAATCTAAACAAATAAATACAAATTATTAACTAAGTAAAATTTTAGAAAAATTATAAAAATATAAAAATGTAAAAATAAAATTTATTGTAAGAGTGTGTAACATCCATATTTATTTAATTCAATAAAAAAAATAAGTTTTGGAGTTAAAAGGAGAAAATTTAAAATAAATTCATTTGCAAGCTGAATAGAACATGTGGAAGAATAAAATTTTTATTTAATTTACTCATACTCATAAAAATTTACATATTAAAGTGATAGGAAATAAACAAATATAAATGGAAAGTCAAAATGATATTAATGTACATTGTTATCATTAATTTTCAAGAGTTTATTATTTACAAAATATAACTTCATAATACATTAGGACTCTTATATATGCATCATTTACAAAATATAAATGTACTGAGTCCTAATGAGTAATCTATTTACCAAAAAGACTAAAGACAATATTAGTCATCTCCATGTCATCTCTCTATCTTCTCAAGGTCTTCGAAGTCAAGATCCTCGTCTGATCTAAGATCAAGATTTCTAGAGTCTGCAGTAACTTCCGCAGTCGGAACCCACTCAAAAGTAACTCGGGTCGATCTCCCAAGAAAATCATGATCATGATACGTGCACAAGTAAGTCACAACTGTTAGAGTTCTAACCATACCTCTATAAATATATATATATATATATATATATATATATATATATATATACATAGAGTGTGGTGGATGTGACACCCTTACTACTCATTACGCCATCAATATAAGTATAATATTAAAATAATCCAAGCAGTAAGAAAGCTAGATGTATAAGTTTACGTCTGTTCACATTAATAGAAACTAAATACACCATCTATACCAGTTATCCAAATACATATATACATATCATCTGTCAAAATATACAGTCATCCAGTCATATAAACATAGTTGATTTACATACAAAATAAAGTGGGGTCACAATATCAGAGACAACAACAACAAAAATGACCTCACAAGCTTTCCCCCTAGACCCATGATTATTAAAAATACCATTTCCTCCAAAAGTTAACAACGGTTGAGGATTTCTATTTACCCGTTCCCTCAGTCACTAGTAATAATATCTATATATATGTACAAGTTATACTTTACTTGGCATTAGCTTACTCTTCTTTCCCACTAGGTTCCTGCTTAAAGGAATCAAAACCAGGAAGAAGTCCGGCCTGAGAAGAAGTCCTTTTCTTTCTAGTAGCAGTAGGGGTGTTTGAATAGTGAGAGAAATTCAGAGAGTCAGAAGAACTAAATGAAGTCAAATTTGAAGTGGATGAGATGGATATGTGTCTGAGTAGAGGTATGTTCGCTATATTGGGTCGTACAACAGGTGATACATAAGGCCCTAAAGATCTAAGGAAATTCAGAGATAATATTGGGGGCGATAATTCAGGGACAAGAGGTGGGACATAGGGTCTCCTAAACTGTACTCCAGGAGGAAATAGAAAAGTGAGTCTCATGGGTACCCTGATGGGGATGGGGTATGCACGTGGGCCTGACCCGTTTCTATCTAACAAAAAGGTAATAGTGCCAGTATGGGTGAACTGTTGTCGCTCTCAATCGTGCGCCCATCTTCCTTCAGGATCATATCTAACCGTGACGCTGAACTGGTACGGTGGTCGGGCCATTTGTGTCCTCACCTA